TGCTGGTGGTGTCACTGCTGGTGCTGCAGGTGTTGATTGTTCCGGTGGTGGAGATTGCATTGGTGCTGGTAATTGTGGCAGTGGTTGTGGTGGTGGTGCTGGTGGGGGCAGTTGTAGGGCCAGTGATGGTGATGTTGGTTGTTTGAGTGGTAGTGGTGCTGATGATGGTTCCGGTGGTGGTGCTGGTTGTGATGGTGCTGGTGGTTGAGTCAGTGGCTGTGGTGGCTGTGCCGGTACTGTGCCAGTAATACTGGTGGTGGTGGTTGTTTTGCCTGGTGTGTTGGTGGTAGTTCTGGCGGTGCTCCTGTTGTTGGTGATGGTGCAGCTGGGGTTAGTGCTGCTGGTTGAGGTGGTGTCGGTGGTTGAGCCAGTACCAGGGACTGTGGTAGTGGTGGTTGTGTGGGTGGTTGTGGTGTTGCAAGTGTGGTGGTGGTTGTGCCAGTACTGGTGGATCTTGTGGTGGTGGTGCCCAAGGTGCTGGTTGTTCCAGTTGTGGCGATGGTGATGCTGCCCATGGTAGTAGTGCTGGTTGTGCTGGTGACAGTGGTGATAGTTGTTGTGCTGGTGGTGGTTGTGCCGGAAATGGTGGTACCGTTCTGGTGTTGGTGATGATGCCTGTGATGGTGACCGTTGTGGTGGTGTTGGTGGTGGTGATGCTGGTTTTTCTGGTGATGGTGCCAGTGACCCCAGTGGTGATGGTGTTGCCAGTGCTGGTGACTGACAGTGGTCATGGTTGTGCCGGTGGTGGTGGATGTGCCGGCTGGGGGGGGTGCGGGGGGGGGGGGTGGTGGTGTTGCCGGTCCTGATGGTGGTTTTGCCAGCTATGGTGATGGTGCGTGTGGTGGTTGTGCTGGTGCTTGTCCAAAAACTCCAAAAACCAGCACCACAGTCACTGGCACTAGTGGTTGTGGTAGTGTTAATGTGGTGGTGCTGGTGCCTGTAGTGGTGCTGCCATTCATCGTGCCAGTGCCAGAGACTGTGGTTGTGTTGGTGACAGGTGTGTTGGTTGTGGTGGTGCTGATGGTGCTGACTGTGGTGGTGATGGTGGTTCTGATGGTGACTGTGGCTATGATTACAGTATTGGTGGTGCTGGTGGTGTTGGTTCCGGTGGTTGTGCCAGTGACTGTGGTTGTGCTGCTTATTGTGGTGGTGCTGGTTCTTCTGGTGGTGGTGATGGTGCCAGTTGTGGGGCCGGTGGTGGTGATGTGCGTTGTTCCAATGGTGGTGGTGGGGATATTGGTTGGGCTGGTGGTTCTGGTGGTTATGCCAGTGCTGGTGACTGTAGTGGAGGTGTCGGTGGTGCTGGTGACCCTGCTGGTGGTGCTGATGGTGTTGCCAGTGCCGGTGACTCACAGTGGTGGTGGTTGTGCTGGTTGTGGTGGTTACAATGGTGGTGGTGCCGGTAGTCGTTGTGGTGATGGTGACTCTGGTGGCCGTGGTTCTGCCAGTTGTGACGGTGGTGGTGGTTTTGCTGGTGGCGATGGTGATGGGGCCTGTGGTGGTTGTGCTCGTGACTGTGATGGTGGTTTTTGTGCCAGTGGTTGTGGTAGTGTTGCTGTGGTGATGATGACTGTGGTGGTGCCACTGTTCATTGTGCCAGTGGTGGTAGTTGTCACAGTTGTGCTAGTCCCAGTGGTAGTTGTGCCAGTGGTGTTTGTGGTGATAGTGGATGTGGTGCTGGTTTTGGTGGTGGTTGCAGTGCCAGTGGCTGTGGTGGTGTAGGGGTGGTGGTGGTGGTGGTGCCTGTGGTACTGCCACTGGTGGTTGTGCCAGTCCCAGAGACTGTGGCTGTTGTGCTGGTGCTGGTGGCTGTTGTGCTGGTGGTGTGGTGGTTGTGCCGGCTGTGGTGCTGTTGGTGCCCATGATGGGTGGCGCCCATGGTGTTGCAGTGACTATGGTGGTGATTTTTGTGCCCGTGGTTGTGGTAGTGTTGGTGTGGTGGTGCTGGTGAAAGTGGTGGTAGTGGTTGTGCTGGTGACTGTGGTTCTGGTGTTGCTGGTGGTGGTGCCGGTCCTGGGGCCAGTGGTGGTCTTGCCATTTTTGCTGGTACCAGTGGTGGTGATGATGTTGTCTGGGGTGGCAGTTCTGGTGGTTATGCCATTGCCAGTGACTCTGGTGGTGGCGCCCATGGTGTTGTGCCTGTGGGTGGTTCCAATGACCCTGCTGGTGTTGGTGATGGTGCCCATGGTGGTGGTTCTGGTGGTGGTGGCTGTGGAGGTGGCTGTGGTGCCAGTGTGATAGTGTTGGTGCCAGTAATAGTGGCTATGAAAGTGTTGGTGTGGTGGTGCTGGTGCCGGTGACTGGTGGTGCTGATGGTGTCCATGGTGGCTGTGCTGCTGGTGGTTGTGCCTGTGGTACTGGTTGTGGGGCCAGGGGTGCTGATAGTCGTTGATGCGGTGGTGGTGGTTGTGCCAGTGGTTGTGGTGCTGGTAATGCTGGTGCTCTTGTTGGTTGTGGTGGTGCCAGTGCTGCTGGTGGGGATTTTGCCAGTGCCGATGACTGTGGTGGTGGTTGTTGTGCCAGTAATGCTGGTGATGGTGGTTGTGGTGCCAGTTGTTGGTGCCATTACGGTGGTGCTGCTGCCAGTGGAGGTGATGGTGTCCATGGTGGTTGTGCCAGCTGTGGTGGTGCTTGTGTCACCACTTCTGTGGCCAGTGGTGGTGATGTATGTTTTTCTGGTGATGATGGTAGTCATGCCACTTTTTCTGGTGCCAGTGGTGGTTTTGGTGATGTAGCTTGGGGTGGTTTTGGTGGTCAAGCCGGTGGCTGTTGTGCTGGTAATGCTGGTGATGGTACCGGTGGTGGTGCTGGTGGTGGTGGTTTTGCCATTCATTGTGCTAGTGCCAGAGACAGTGACAGTTGTGGTGGTGGTGCTGGTTGTGCTGGTCCTGGTGGTGCCAGTGGTGGTTGTGGTGATGATGACTGTGGTGGCTGTGCCATTGCTTGTGGTGTGTATTGTTGTAGTTGTGGTGGTTTTGCAGTCTGTGGTGGTGCTTGTGCTGGTAGTGGTGATGGTGCCCATAGTAGTGCTGCCAGTGGCTGTGCCAGTCATGGAGACTGTGGTTGTTGTGGTGGTGCCAGTTGTGCAAGTGGTTGTGGTGCCTGTTGTGGCGATGGTTCCATGGTGGTGGTGCTGGTGTTTCCGGTGGTGGTGGTTGTGCCTGTGGATGTGCCAGCTGTGGTGGTGCTTGTGCCTGTGGTGGTTGTGCCAGTGCTTGAGCCAGTGCTGGTGACTGTGGTGGCAATGGTTCTGCCAGTCGTGGTGGTGCTGGTGACGGCGGTGGTGGTGGTTGTGCTGGCTGTCGTGGTGACGGTGTGGTAGTGTTGGTGCCGGTGATGGTGCCTGTGGTGGTGGTGCTGCTGTTTGAGTCAGTGCTGGTGACTGTAGTGTTGATGGTATTATCGGTGGTTGTAATAGTGAGGGTACTGGTGTTGCTGGTGGTTGTTGTGCCGGTGACTGTGGGGGTGGTGATGATGTCCATGGTGGCTGTGCTGCTGGTGGTTGTGCCCATGGTACTGGTTGTGGGGCCAGGGGTGCTGATGGTCGTTGATGCGGTGGTGGTTCTCCCGGTAAGGCTGGTGCTGCTGCGGCTAGTGGTGGTGTTAGTGATGATGCTCGTGGTGGTGGTTTTCCTGGCTGTGGCTGTGCAGTGGTGGTGGTGTTGGTGCTGGTGATGGCGCCCCTGGGGGCGCTCCTGTTTGTGCCAGTGCCGGAGACTCTGATTGTTGTTGTGGTAGTGGTGGGTGTGGAAGAGCTTGTAGTACTGGTATTGGTGGTGGTTTTGCTAGTGATGGTGGCAGTGGTTGTGGCAGTTGTGGTGGACTGGTGTGGTCGGTTTGGTGCCTGTGGTTGTGGTGATACTAGTGCCCGTGGTGGTTGTGCCAGTGTTTGAGCCAGTGACTGTGGTGGTAGTTTTGGTGCCAGGGGTTGTAGTGGTGGTGGTTGTGCCACTGCTGGTGACTGTGGTTCCAGTGGTGCTAGCAGTAGTGGTGCCAGTTGTGGGGCTGGTGGTGGTGCTGGTGATGTCCCCCAGAGTGGCGGTTCTGGTGGTTATGCCAGTGACTGTGCCGGCGGTGGTGGTGCCAGTGGGGGAAGTGGTGATCGTGGTTGTGGTTCCTGTGCTTGTGCCAGTGGTTGCAGTGCAGGTAGTTGTCATGGTTAGGCCAGTGATGGTTGTAGTGGTGGTTTTGGTGCCCATGGTAGTGCTGGTTGTTGAGCCAGTGCTGGTGACTGTGGTGGTGGTGGTTGTGCTGGTGGTCATGAAAGTGTTGGTGTGGTGCTGAGGGTTGTTGTGCCAGTGCTGGTGACTGTGGTAGTGGTGATACCAGTGGTGGCTGTGACTGTGGTGCCAGTTGTGGGGCTAAGGGTGATGGTAGTTCTGGTTGATCTGGTGGCGGTGGCTGTTTGGCCAGTGCCATTGATGGTGGTGGCTGTTTGCTGGTGGTAGTTGAGTTGCTGGTGTTGGTGGTAGAGTGCCGCTTGTCGTGGTGCCTGTTATGGTGATGCTCATTGGTGGTGGTGGTGATGGTGGCAGTGGTGGTCTTTGTTGTGGTGGTGCTGGTGGTTGTGCCGGTGACTGTTGTGGTGGTTTTGCTGGCTCTGGTGGTGGTGATGGTGACTGTGGTGGTGCCAGTGACTGTGGTGGTGGTGGTTGTGCACTTGTGGTGGAGCCCCTCTGGTAGTTCTCGTGCCAGTGACTGTGGTGGTGGATGTGCCGGCTGTGGTGGTTGTGGTGTTGTTGGTTTTGCTGGTGGTGGTGTTGGTAGTTGTGCCGCTGCTGGTGACTGTGGTGCTGGTGGTGGTGTGTTCCTGCTGGTTTGTGGTGGTGGTGCTGCACCTGGTGGTTGCGCTAGTGCCGGTGACTGTGGTGGTGTAGTGGTGATGGTGCCGCTCGTTGTAGCGGTGCCAGTTGTGGGGCTGGTGGTGATGCTGCTGGTTGCTCTGGTGGTGGTGGTGGTGGTGCCCACGATGGTGCTGCTGCTGGTTGTGCCAGTGCTGGTCATGGTGGTGATGTTGATTGTGCCAGTGGTTGTGCTTCCAATGGTGGTGGTGCTTGTGGTGGTGGTGATGGTGCCAGTGGTGCCGGTTGTTGGGTCAGTGAGGGTGATTGTGGTGGTGCTGGTGGTTGAGCCAGTGCCCGTGACTGTGGTGGTGGTTGTGCCTGTGGTGCCAGTTGTGGGCCAAGGGTGGTGGTGGTCATTGATCCTGTGGTTGTGGTTATGGTGCTGGTAATGCTGGTGATGGTGTTGGTGGTGGGGCAGGTGCTGCTGATGCCGATGGTGGTGGTTTGGCCAGTGACTGTGGTTGTGGTGGATGTGCTGGTAGTTGTGCCATTAATGCTGGCGATGGTGTCAGTTGTGGTGTTGCTGCCGGTGGTGGTGGTTTTGCTGGCTGTGGTGGTGATGGTGCCCATAGTGGTGCTGCTGGTGGTTTTGCCAGTGCCAGAGACTGTGGTGGTGCTGGTGGTGATAGTGATGATGGTTGTTTTGCCAGTAATGCTGATGATGGTGCTGGTGTTGGTGGTGATAATTGTGCCCATGGTGGTGCTACTGATGGTGACAGTGCTGCTGGTTGTGGGTCCGGTGGCGAATTTGGTTATTTTGGTGCAGGTGCCCATGGTGGTGATGCCAGTGGTGTTTACGGTGGTGGTGGTTGTGCTGGCTGTGGTGGACTGGTGTGGTGATGCTGGTGCCCATGGGGGTTTTGCTGGTGTTTGACCCAGTGCCGGTGACTGTGGTGGTGATCTTGTGCTGGTGGTTGTAGTAGTGTTGGTGTGGAGGTGCTGATGAAGTGGTGGTGGTTGTGGTGGTTATGCCGGTGACTGTGGTGCTAGTTGTGGTGGTGCTGGGGTACCAATTGTGGGGCCGGTGCTGGTGGTGGTAGTGCTGGTGGTGGTCTTGCTGGTACCGATGGTGGTGATGTTGCCTGGGGTGGTGCTTCTGGTGGTTATGCTGGTGTGGTGACCTTGCTGGTGGTGATGGTGCCTGTGGTGTTGCTGGTGCCAGTGACTGTGGTGGTGGCTACAGTGGTGGTGGTGGTGGTGCTGGTGGTGGTTGTGGTGCTGTAGGTTGCACCAGTCGTTGTGGTGGTGGTGTGCTTGTCCCACTGACGGTGACTGTGGTGGTGGTGGCGGCAGTTGTGCCGGCTGTGTTCCTACTGGTTTGTGGTGGTGGTGCCAGTGGGGGAAGTGGTGATGGTGACTGTAGTGGTTGTTCAAGTGGTGGTGGCTGTGGTGGTGCCAGTGCAGTAGCATTGGTGTCGGCAACAATGGTGGTGATGATGCCCATGGTGGTGCTGTTGTTTGAGGCAGTACTGGTGGCTGTGAAAACGTTGGTTTAGTGGTGCTGAGGGTTGTTGTGCCAGTGCTGGTGACTGTGGTAATGGTGATACCAGTGGTGGTTGTGCCCGTGGTGCCAGTTGTGGGGCCAAAGGTGGTGGTGGTTCTGGTTGATCTGGTGGTGGTGGCTGTTTGGCCAGTGCCGTTGACTGTGGTTGTGGTGCTGGTAATGCTGGTGCTGGTGTCGGTGTCTGTGGTGCCGGTTGTGGAGCCAGTGGTGGTGATGCTGTTTGTTCCGGTAGTTGTGGTGGTAGGGCTTGTGCTGGTGCTGTTTTTGGAAGTGGTTTTGCTGGCTGTGGTGGACCAGTGTGGTGGGTTTGGTGATGGTGACTGTGGTGGTGGTGGCTCTGCCAGTCGTTGTGGTGCTGGTTGTGGTGGTGCCAGTGATGATGATGGAGGTGGTTTTGCCAGCTGTGCTGGTATGGTGGTGCTCATGACGGTGGTGTTGGCAGTGATGGAGCTCACGGTGGTGCTTTCAGTTGTTCTGCTGGTGCTGATGCTGGTGTTGATGGTGATAATTGTGCCAATGGTGGTACTACTGGTAGTGCTGGTGACAGTGCTGCTGGTTGTGGGTCCAGTGGCTGTGATGCTGGTTATTCTGGTGTCGGTGGTGGCAGTGGTTGTGCTGATGTCAATGGTGGGTGCTGGTGTTGGTTGTGCCAGTGGTGCTGGTGGTAAAGGTGTCCCTGATGGTGGTAGAACCTGTGGTGGTGTTGCCGGTGGATGTGACAGTGATGGTGGTGGTGGCTGCTCAAGTGGTTGTGGTGGTGGTGACGGTTCTGTGGTGGTTGTGCTAGTGGTGCCGGTGGTTCTAGATATGGAGCCGGTGGTGGTGATGCTGTTTTTTTCAGTAATGCTGGTGGTTGTGGTTCCTGTGCTTGTGCCAGTGGTTGCAGTGCAGGTAGTTGTCATGGTTAGGCCAGTGATGGTTGTAGTGGTGGTTTTGGTGCCCATGGTAGTGCTGGTTGTTGAGCCAGTGCTGGTGACTGTGGTGGTGGCTGATGTGCCTGTGGTGCTGGTGGCAGTGCTGTTGGTGGTGGCTGATGTGCCAGTGACAGTGCTGGTGGTGGTGGTGTTTGTGCTGGTTGTGGTGGTACCTCTGTGGTGGTAGTGCTGGTGCCAGTGACTGTGGTGGTGGTGATGGATATGCCTGTTGTGGTGGTTACAGCGGTAGTGGTGCTGGTAGTTGAGTTGCTGGTGTTGGTGGTAGAGTGCCGCTTGTCGTGGTGCCTGTTATGGTGATGCTCATTGGTGGTGGTGGTGATGGTGGCAGTGGTGGTCTTTGTTGTGGTGGTGCTGGTGGTTGTGCCGGTGACTGTTGTGGTGGTTTTGCTGGCTCTGGTGGTGCCAGTGTGGTGGTTGTTCTGGTGGTGGTGGTGGTGG